ATTTGGTTCTCATCCCATTTGATTTTCAACCAGAATCAGGAAAAAATAAAGTTGGTAAATTGAAGCTTAGGATAAAGTTAAACAGATTACTGCTCTGAGTTACAACTGTCAGTCTATCTACTTATATGACCATCTAATTCTAAAAACTGTTTCACATTCAAAGAGCTGAATAAGATATTTACGAAGACCTAGCCAAACAGTGTTCAATCTAAATCATCTTTCAAATAGTACAATCATTTAAAATAATTTAAAGCAGTCAAATTGCTTTTATTAGAAGCCCTGAAAAACTAATCTCAGTGACTGCTGATAAAGGCTTAAATGTTCTTTCAAATAATGTTGTAATAATAAATAGTATCTGAATTAAGGCTTTCTTACCCCTCATGACAAATCCATTATAAAGAAATACCACTCTATAAAAAAAACTCCTAAAAATAAGTTTAGTAAAACTGGCATAAACACTAAATTACAAAGAGCCCCTTAACTATGCTTTTATCAAATGACAGAAAAAATATATGTACATTTTATGTTTGGGTAAAAAAAAAAACTATCATTATTCCTAGTAAAAAATTTCATTTCACTTACATCAGTAAGACAAACTCCTTAAAAACAGCTGAATAGAATTCAGAATGAATTACCTAGTTTCATGCTGCTCTTCTCTTTCTTTGGTCTCCTCGCTTAACACAAGGACAGCAGGATAAGCTGGACTCTGCCTGGGGCTGTGCTGACCTGTCTCCCATCCCCGCACCCTTTCCTCCGCACTTTCCTGTTCCTTCCCAGTGGCCACTGTCTCCTGCATCCTGGCCTGTGAAGTCATCACTAACTGCAGGACTCCTGGCTGCACTGACTCACTGTGCCTACTACATACTTCTCAGTCTCGAAGTACTCTTTCCTAGGGTACTTGTTTTTTTTGCTCTGTATCATAAGATGGAGGGTTTCATTCACAGTGCTTTCCATATGTAATTCTTAATCTTCTGAACTTCGTAATGACAGCTTCTTCTGGCACAAGGGAACTAGTGACACAGGAAAGTTTTCGTCACTGACATCTGCAGGGAACGATGTTCCACACGCACAAGGTGTTCCCTCATTAGGCTCTCACATTCTCACCCACAGATGCTCTTGGCCACATCACTCACACAGCTGAGAAGTGAAAATAACCCAGCCGTCCATCAACTGACAGTCAATGCAGTCCACCCACACTAGGGAGCAGGAGAGAAGCTCTGACACGCTGCAACATGGATGACCTTGTAAACACGGTGCTGAAAGAAGCCATACACAGAAGGCCACAAGTCATGTGATAGCATTTATATGAAAAGTCCAAACAAAGAAATCGACACAAAAAGTGAGAGCTGCCAGAGTGAGGGAGTATGGGATGAGGAGAGAGAAAACGGAACAGGGGCTCTAAGTACACAATGTACGAAAGAAGAGTCTTCCAGGGTGGTGAAAAATGTTCTCAAGTTGAATACTTTTAAGCTGTGATGAGTCAGCTGTGAGAATCTACTGGAAACCACTGCAATGCACCCTTTAAATGGGTGAACTATACACAGAACTACAGGAAGAAACCAAGCTTAGAACGTCAAGGAAAACAAGACCCTGAAGGCATTAAGAGGCTGATCTTCATGAGGAAGGTATGGGGAGGTGTGTGAACTGCTATCTGCCATTCTTCCCTTCGTGCACTGTTCCAACCTCTGCTACCCAAGTCATCCCACTGGCAATGGCAGGCACAGGGTCAGCTGACTGAAGAGGGAACATTAGCCAGTTCTGCAACACACGTGACACAGAGGCTGGGCAGTAGCTGTGCCTTGTCCTTGGCAGGAGGGGACTGGTTTGGATAAGCGAGGGCAGAGTGAAAGCTTCCCAGCTTCTCAGGGAGAGCCAGGGGAAGTGGCCAGGTTGCAGAGAAGACCTCCACTGAGTGTTGAGGCACACAGGGCTTCCCCTGGCTTCCCTGGATCACTGTGTGGGAGGACTGAGGTGACTGAACCCAGGGGTCTGGGGGACACCTCAATGGTGACGTCTGTGAGGCCCTGTAACAGGACAGGGACATCTTCACCACCACTGAGGACTTAGTCCTTCATCCTCAGCTGTGTGATATCCCATGATGAATTTCTGTTGATTTACAGAATGGGAGTTTGAAAAGGAAATATGTTGCTTTGGGAAAAGATGCATTTTTTTAAAAAAACAAATTATATCCTGAGATTTGTTTCTATTACTGGAAAATAAACTGTATTTGAAAGATTTTTATTCATGAAGACAAAATACACCCACTAGTACTACTGTTGTATTGTTTATAGTCAGCAATATAGCAAATTTTAGCCATATCAAACAAGTCTACAACTACTTAACGAATATTTACAAAGACTCAGTTCCACCCTCCAGGAACTAACCTCTCTAAAGTCCTAGGAATACCCAGTTTTTAAAGATTGTGCAGGCCAGGGAAACCACCCTCCTAGGAACTAGACACAGGAGTAGGAGTGGAAATTGCATGTCCACCTGCCCCGGAGGGCAGCTTGTTTCAGCAATGCCACAGACTCCCATTTGCAGACCACTGATGCTCAGAAGTGGTGTTTACTTCTTTACCAAAAGGTCTCCAAAAAGAGCTCCTTCTAGCTTTCTCTTCATTCTCTCTAAACTATACTCTGAATTCTCTACTTTGAGTTACCCACAAAGATCATACTTTCTGATCTGGCATGAGAATTCACAGCCGGATGCATGTGCACTTTTAATTTTGAATTTCCATTTGTGAATTTTATAGCTTCTCTATCATTTCAAAAGACAACTTTCTAATTAAGTTTATAAAGCTGTTTTTGGCCAGAGGAAAGGGTGGTATGGGCTCAGCTGGGTGGCTTCTCCTACTTATTCTTCCCTCCAAGTCCTGAAGAGGATGTGGCAGCCAGAGGGAGCAAGGCCCACCTCACAACACCTGGATCATCAGTGGTCAGGGTGAGTATGGCCTGCAGACTCCTATCCAAACACAGGTCCATAGCCCACAGAACAAAGGAAGACTACTGCCAGAAGCGCTGCTCACCTAAGTACTGTAGTTATTTCAGCAAATAACCCATTTGTCAGTAGATGGCAAAACCTCTTTCTCAGCAGCCTGTGAAGAGAGGACGCCCCTTCCCATGGTCCTCTGCTCTGCTCCAAGTGCCATGCCTAGGTGAGGTCACCACAGCCCAATCTGTCCACACTGTGGCCACCTAGGAAGCTGTGCTCTAGGATCTTCCCAACCACCTTCACCACCTGACAGGGCAGGTAGTACTCCCCTTTCACCCTGCCCACTTGGAGACAGCTGCCAGACTGGTGGGTGCCCTTCCTCCCAGCCACACTTTTCCTCCATTACCTTCTCAGTTCATACATACTCAGCTCCTTCTTAGGAGCAAGAAAGACAGTGTGGGAAACTCCTCCTGACCCCTAACTCACAGGTTTCTCTGGGGAGGTCACCTCTGCCTTCTGCCAGTCTTCAGGCAGCAGAACCTAACGCTCAGCAATGTAATTCAGTGACCATTTCTAATTTTACCATACCTTAAAGTCTGGCCTGTCGTGAAATGGTTGCATTCCACCGATCTGCATCTTTTGCTGGACACAGACTCCTCTCCCCAGCAGCTCCATTTTACTACCACGGAAACTTTGTGTTACTTAGTCTACAAATTCAATTTTTCATTTAATTTACTTCGTTAGCATAGATTCTAACTCAATCACAAATATCTGTGTATGTATGTTTATCTTCACATGAGTGGTACCAACTATGTATTACATGCTCTATATAAAGTACAGTAAGCAAACATGTCCTCTAGAAATATAAGCTGGAAGCTCACACTGCAACTGTACCTGTGAACAGGAAGACTAGTAAATACACGACTTGTACTCGGCAATGACATGACCACAACTAGGAAAGGAAACTGCAGTCACTTCTGGAGTAGGCTCAGTTCTCCCACGCATCCTCAGTACCAGTGAAATAGCAGCCTTCTGGCAAGTGAAGACTGTTCTTTGCCTCCCTGCATATTATGCACTGGTCCTAGAACTCTCCTGGGACACCACAACCCATGGACGCTCAAACCCCTACATAATATAACAGCTTTGCTTATCTCCTATACACGTGCTTCTCTGTACTTTGTCATCTCTGAATGACCCATAATATTTAATACAATGTATATGCTATATAAATAGTTCTACAGTTTTGTTTAGGGAGTAGAAAAGAGGAACTGTACATGTTCAGCATAGATGCAATTTTAAAAAAAAAGTATTTTCAACCCATGGATATAGAAACTGCAGATGCAAAGGGCCGACTATATCTACATATACACTATACTATATAGTAACAGCATATACTATACTACACCATATTATACTATACTATATAGTAACAGTATATATATGTATAGCATACAGCTTCGCATATAAATACAATCACCTGAATTTTAAATAAATATATAAGTGCATATGCAGTTTAAGGTTGAACTTGAGCTGCTATACGTTCAGTATCAGCAGCTCTAAACAACAGATCCGGAACAACCTGCTGCTCAGGGCTTGTATATGAAGGACAAAATGATGAGACAACAGAGCTTCAATGTGCATTTGAAGTGCCAGGCAAGAACAGAGGACAAATGGCAAGACTCTGACTTTCTGTGCATAGAGCAGGTAGGACAGGTAAGTGCAGGCAGAACTGCTAACACCTGAGAAGCCACCAGGTTTCCCTGACACCAAAGAGACTGACAGAGGGTTGAGTGATCTCTTCTCTTCCAACTGTCATACTATCAGAGCAAGACCAAGAATTGCTCAAGAACTGAAACTGAGGCAGTGATTGTCAACATCTGACCTGGTACACACCCAGAGCATCTTCAAAGATGAAGACAAGCTACCTCCTCATGAAGAGACCTCAACTAAACACAACTTCTTGATCCTTTCTGTGATATACCAACTATCATGAAGGAAGGATGGAAAAAAACCTGACCCTTTATCATATTATGGCTATCCAGGGCTGCAACAACTGGTCATATATGTACCTGTAAGTTTATGAGCTGTGCAGTTGATTTTCCTTGGAGGCACAAGGCCTGAGCAATAAACGCATGCAAATCCTCCAGGCAAAGAGTGTCCACCTGAGAGTGAGAGAAAAGGTCAGAGTTAGGCTACATTTTAAAACTTCAGTACTACTTATATGTTGCTATGGACACACACATACACAGGAACACACACGGGCACATGTACAGGCTCAAGTGCACAGCATGCATGCCCCGTGCATCAGATCCAGGGACAGCAGACAGTGTGCATGGGGGAAAAGCACAGCCCCTCCCCTCGCCCTCCACAGCTCCTGACTGTGAAGCTCTCCCTCTGGCTATGCACCTAACTCACAGGCCACGCTGGTCACAGGAACTTGGGCTCCTAACAAGGGTTCCTCTCCAGCAAGGCAAAAAGTCCAGAATATCTAGGAATTACCAGGAGGTGTCAACCAAGTCTGAGTCTTTGAGGAATACAGGTGGTCACTATTAGCACAAACTGCATGGAGTGGACAATTTCTGGACAAAGAGCACCCATAGCTAGGCTGGGATGGTTAGGGCTGAGGGAACATTCACCTTCGAACATTCAACCCCAGATAAAACTCGTAACCTTATATTCCAGTTTAAAATAAATCAGGATTTTGTAATATGAGTGGTCAAAAGACCTAACAAAGGGGGTGAGAAACAAGGAGACAGAGCGGGTAGGTCGGGGGAGAATGACTGGGTTTAAAGTGAGTCATGGGCATGAGAAGCTTTATCAAGCAGAGACGGACTGCACTTCTACCCCTCTTGCCTCCACACTCCTGAGCTGCCCCTGTTCTTCCTAAGCCACTACGTTTGCCACCCAAATGGAAGTACTATGATGGCCACTTGCCAAGTAATTCCACTATCACACAAGAACACAGAGGTCTTTCCCAACTGCAAGGAGTGACCAAAGGCTTAGAGGAAATAAACAGGAGAACAATGACAAATTGATCAGTACCAATTTCACTGATTCACTCCAAGTAATAAAATGCTAGTATGTCTACCTGTGATAACATGACCCACCATAATCAGAAACACCATTTATTATAGACTCCTGCTGACTTCCACCTTGAAATTCCTCTGGAAAAACACTCCAGCATACTTCCGGCATGAGCTACCCTCCAGGGCCACACACAGGGCCACTGAGTACTCTTACTTACCCATCACTACCTGTTGTGTGTTTATTTAAAAGTGTCACCTCTATACAAAGGATAACACTTCTAACTATGGGGGGCAGTGCATGGGATTCATGAGTAAGAAAAAAGATTGTAACTGTAGAAGCAAGACCAAGTACCAAGTATATTTTAAAATGCATAACGACCACCATTCTGCTTAGAAGGATGTTTCCGGGCACATACTTCTACTTCTTGCCATTAGGGATCTTTGAAGAAGGTTGATCTTACACTACCAGCCTAGAAAAAGAAGCACCATGTGCCAAGCTTCGTCACAGGTAACCAATATCACACTTGACCACTTCTGTAGTGGACAAATTCAAAACGTACCAGAAGCTGCCAAAGACTCAGTAATGTTCAATTCTTTAGCCTTTCAATAATGGCCATCATTAGATATCAATACATTATAAAATATCTATTATAGAGTATATAAAATACGTACGTTTCTATAAATTTACCCTTCCAAAGGATTTTCTCAGATTAGTGTTACAGCTTTTGTTTTTAACTTAAAGGTTGGCTCTAGTGAGAGTATTGAGTTTCCCTCATTTTCATACACTGAATTGTATGCAATTTCATCCCACACTGCACATCTAATTTAACCTTAACTAGATGAAATCATATATATTTGGGTACTGAGAAACAAATCCCGCACCTTGCACATACTAAACAAGTTCCCTACTACTGTGCTATATTCCCCATTCTTTTTAAAAAATTTATCTTTTTGAATTTTGGGACTGGGTCTTGCTAAATTGCCCAGGCTGGTCTTAAATTTGCAATCTTCCTCAGCCTCATGAGCAGCTGGGATTACAGGTGTGTTACCACATCCAGCATGAAACTGGAACATTTTTATAAACTTCTCTTTCTAGCTATACTAATTCTGAGAACAATTGTCTTATGAATGAAAGCATAACACCTTCTCACCCTAAGAGATACCACTGTCTCATTGATTTGATGAGTTCTATCTATAGGACTGATTTCTTACCTCCTCTGAAATTAAACCACCATATCTATTTGTGCCTCCTTGCACTGAAGACCTTCCATTTAAGTGGTCACTGTCACAGGAAAAAGGTGGAAATTCTCTGCTTGCAGTTTGTCTTGCTTGAGGGTCTTATAAACTGGGATGTGAAGTTATGCTGTTGGGTGCTCAACTTTTTCTGCCTGAAGAGGACTTTAATAAATGACAATCACTTACATGATGAACAAAAGAGTAGAAGAGCTACACTGAATGATTATGGAAGGCTCTACAAGAGATCTCCACTGCTGGAAAAAGTAATTCACTGCACATGCCTCAAGAGTGCTAAAGATACAGCATGCCTGTGGCTACACATGGCACTGAGAGCAAAGCATTCTTTTTTTTTTTGGTTTTTCTCCGGTACCGGGAACCGAACTCACGACCTTGCACTTGCCAGGCAGGCGCTTTTTGCCGCTGAGCTAAATCCCCAGCCCCTTTCTAAATGTTTTTTTTTTTTTGTTTTTCTCCGGTACCGGGAACTGAACTCACGACCTTGCGCTTGCCAGGCAGGCGCTTTTGCCGCTGAGCTAAATCCCCAGCCCCAAAGCATTCATTTTTATAGGTGAGCAAATGCCACTTTCTGGAGAACCACCACTTCCCAATTCCCACCTTCAATCACAGGCACGCACAGATCAATAAATAATGGACAGAAAAATAGTAATCACTAATGTATGCATATATATTAAATATATATTTCAAAAGAAATTGGCCTAATATTTACATATTACAATTCATGCCCTTCTATATTAACTCATGTTTTTGCTAAGTTTGGTACAAATAAAGCATTCTATTCAACGCAGTAATGCAAAAACTACAGTTTATATTAGTGAAGTGAAACCACTAATAAAGAATTGCTTAACTGTATGCCATTTTTACCAACTGCAAAATGTAGAGTGGCTACAGAGTGGGCAGAGCCAATGAGACACTTAGAAAGGAAAAGTCAATGTTCAAATAGAATTCCACAACAGGGTAAACTTCTCATAGACAACCAGTAACTACACAACTATCTGCTTCAGGCAAATAAAAGCTGACTGGTCATGCCAGGGTAGACCTGTTATGCAGGGAGATGAGAAGACAGGACGGAAGGCCTGGCAGGGTCTAATGGACTGGTGAGGAAATCTCAACAGGCTGCATAAGAAGCATGCACCAACAGTGAAACAAACACAGCAGAGGAGTGGGAAGCAACAAGCAGAGGAAAGGGTCTTTTGTAACCCTTATGATTTTGTTGCATAAACAAAATGTAAAACTCACATGGAAGGAACAGACCAACTTGGTGAACGACTGGAAGATGAAGAGTCTGGTGCTGTACTTCCTACTCACAATCTACAGCCTGGGCACACAGGCTCAGCAGGGCAGGAGGACACTGGAGTAACAGCACACACTTCCCTGAGCAACTCTGCACAACACTTCATGTGCTCCAGCATGTGGCTGCCCAGTAATCTTGGAGCTGGCTATCACTATTACCTCATTTTCAGATTGCAAGAGGAGTCTTAGTGCTCAGGAAATAGTTGTGATGATGAAGGTGTGAACATGACCTAGGAAAGCTGAAGTGATCTGCCTAGAGGGTTAGAGCTACCAAGAGAGAAGCCAGGACTGCTGCCAGGTCCTTCTCTCCAGTTCCCAAGACCCAAGGAACAGGAACTGCCCCTATCAACTAGAGAGTGAGGAGAAGGTACACCAGGGCCCAAGAGCCTGAGGAACCTCAGCCAAGGCAGGGCAGGTCTTGCACCTGCACAATGCCCAAAACCTCTGTACTCAGGTGCATTGCAACCACTGGGATGAACAGATGGGGCTGCCAGCCACATCCCACCACAGGACCTCCATGTTTCTAGAATATCCTGAATAACTAACACTGTTCAATGAAGCAGATGCGGGCCAAAGATGACCTGGAGACCAGCCTGCTTCTCCACCCCTGGCATCCCAGAAAAGAAGAGGCCAGAAGCAAAGAACATTTGCAGCCACAAGAACAGAGAGCTCAGTGTCACCTGGATGAAGAGGTAGATCAGCAGGCAGCACAGAGCTCTCAGTGGGCTGTCAACAGCCTGCAGCTCTTCCCTCGAAGAGGAGAGATTGAAACAGGAGAGAAGTATTTCCAGGCGCTGTGCCTGCACCGCCGGCTCCTCATTCAGCCACAGGATTTTCAAACTAGGTGTTCCTCCTAGTTAAAAAGGAAACAGAGGTTCATGGTTACCCTTTGCAATACAGTTACAATATACCTCTAGGAAACAACAAACAGAAACTAATTTCTTCCCTTTCTGACATACTACAGGCTCAAATCTTAAACTAGAATGCAAACATGAAAAAATTTCCAGTTTAAAAGAAAAAATACCCTAAAGGGCCAACATGCACATCTTGCTGAAAACTTTCTTTTTTCTTCTTTGCAGAGCTGGGGACAGAATCCAGGGCCTCAAGCATGGTAGCCAAGTGCTCTACCACTGAGCTATACCCACAGCCCAACTCTTTGTTTTTTGGAGATGGGGTCTCACTGTGTTGCCCAAGCTGATCTAGAATTTATGATTCTCCCATCCGCAGCCTCCTGAGTCCTGGGGTTACAGGTATATACCACCATATCCAGCTCATCTTTTTAATGGTTATATTTTGAGGGAGACTGGAGGCTTTGCTTCTATCCATGTTTTGCTCTCTACTGTTTGGAACATGACTCAGAAGAGATGTCAATATGCCAGTCCAGGATGTCAGTAAAGAGCTAGGTATGGGCACATGACTGCAATCCCAGCACTCCGATAGACTGAGGCAGGAAGATCCCAAGTTGAAGATCAACCTGGGCAACTTACTAACTTATTGAGACCCTGTCTCAAAATAATAAAAAAGTTTTCAATGGCTAGGGATTCTACAGATCAATGCAAAGGCCCTGGGTTCTCAGTACCAGGGAGGAGAGACACACGGACACATACACAGACAGACGGACAGACAGACAGACACACATACACTACCCCCCACAAAAACAGACGGCTGTTGTGCTGGAAATGCAGTCCATTCAACCCTCCCACCACATTAGTGTTTCTCAGACTTCTATTTACAAAAGCTATTGAGAAACTGATTTAAATATAAGTATCATTCATGAACTCTGTGACTTTCTCCAAGTTTTTTAAAAATTTTATTTTAAAGAGAACAAGATTAAAATTTCAAAACAATAGGAGAGTAACAATGGTTAATACATTGTGTGTTATCATCTACAAAGTAATTACTTTGAGTATAAGACAAAGGTATGAAAAATTGTCCAAATAATCTTAGCACAAGCCTTTCTTTTCAATGAACTAAGAGAATCAAGTCAGAGATCAAGATGCATTTTCCTGGAATCTATGTGAATCTTTTTAGAGTGCTGCATGCCAAAGAATCTACATATTAACAACCCTAAAACCACTTCCCTATTACTAAAGTATTTGACAAAATTAAACTCCTGAACTGTAATTCTTAGTATTTCATATATACATTTAAATTAATAAAATCAGAAGAGAAATCCTTACTTAAAGTTTGTTTAAATCAAGAGAAAACATGAGTAACTCTGGATAGAACACCGAGTGGAAGAGGAAGGTCTGCCTCACAGCAACAGGAAGGTGCCAGAATGAGACCTAGGATGGTAATACCCTCTGTGACCCCAACAGCTGCGGCTGTCTGTCAAGGCCACTGGCTATGTAACATACACTAAAGCACAGGGACAGTCCCACATTTCCCCAAAAAACAAGTGCTGCCAACCAAGTGGCATGAGAATCTAAGAGCTCAGAAAGAAGTTCTTTCACTTTCTCCTTTTGTTTCTCAGACCGTCACTCACTTCTCAGTGGTGCACTTCCTACCTTCAAAGTGAAACAACTCAGCAAGTTACCCACACTTCTAAAAAGCCTGAAAAGTTCCCTCTACAAGAGCCTTTCACTATTTACTTTGGAGAGAAAAAAAACTTTCTCAAGAGAGAAATAAAATGCTAAACACAATTAAGACGTCTGTGAGGAAAAAAAAAAAGACCTGTGGGACTAGTCTTTAAGATAGAGATACTATTCCAGGATAATCACAGGTGCCGGGGAGCACATGTCAGAAACACTCCCAGGGAAACTATAGACCTACAAGGGCCTGATGCCTGTGAGCCAAAGCCAATTTACTGTCTATTTTAATCATTTTCACAGTTTCAAATCATTAAGGGAAAAAAAGAAAATTAGTATTTCCTAATACAAGAAAATCACATGAATTCCCAATTTCAAGGCCTACAAAGTTTTAATGAAATGCTGCTGTACTTGTTTGTGTTTGTAGTATTTATGGTTCCTTCCACACAAGACAAAGTAACAGAAACTACAAGACCTGCAAAGCCTAACATAAGCATTTACTGACATTATTTTTAAAGAAAAGGTTTGCTAAACTCTGACCTCAGGAAAGTAATGAATCTCCCAATATCATAGTTATTTCAAATACATGAAGTATTTAGAAAACTTTTTCTGGATTGCAAAAGTCAGATTTTGTAAAAAATCTCTAAAGACAGAAAAGTGTAGAAGAAAAAAATAATCTACAGCCTCCCACCCAGATACTACCATAGTTTGGAACAAAACTTCTACTCCCTTATCAGTATGCACAAAGCATTGGCGAGCGCAGTGAAGAGAGCAAGTGTCATTAAAGCACAGAGATGGGTGGTGGGGAAACATCACCTTGGGTTTCATTTGCTTACACACAATGGTGTAACACAAAAATGGAGACTCATAGAGTATGTTCAGAGTCAAGTAGTGTCTAGCAGAAGCAACTGCCAGTGAAGTCAGTGATGGTGCTTACTCATAGCCCCATGTATCCATTCCCTCCAAAGACGAAGATGTCCTTAGATTTTCAGGTAAAGATTTTCAAGTATCTGTCTAACAATAAAAAGGATGAGAGAAAAAAACAAAATCAGGCAATTGTTTACCAGCTTCTTTTTCACCTCCTGTCACAGACATTTCTGTGAAGGCTAAGATCTGATGATGCCCCTCAGTCCATTTCTAGGTACTGATTCTGCCTTCCCAGGCACCCTTTTTTGTCCGAGTGGCCCCTGTGGAAGATAAAGAGCTGCTACCCTGGGAGGTTTTGCAGAAGAAAGGCGTATAAACAGGTAACAATTCATGAATGCAAAGGTTTTACTGCAGCAATACTGAAGGTGAAAGGGATTAATGAACAAACTGGGGCAGAGGTCCCGCAAAGGTTTTACGCTGAAAGGCACTCTGGGACTGAAAGGAGACGGTAAATAACTCACATGTGATGCAAGCCTCCTGCCTTCCTCCCTCCTGTCCACCAACCATTCATCTCATGCAACCTCTGCTTCTGGGGAATGACCAATGCCAGACCCGTGACTGGCGCTAAAGATATAAGGGGAAATGAGGGAGAGTCGGTTGCCTTCAGAGAGCTCACAGTTTAGGGGAACACACAGGAACAAGCCAGACGATCACAGTAATACTACCGTGATGAGGGTGTACCACGAAGACGAGAGGCAAGCTGAGGCTGAAGAAAGAGAGGAACTGGCCAACGTGAGGCGAGACAGGTTGGGAAGGGAAACTTATCTGCGAAGGTCTTTATAGAATAACAACAAAAGGCTGAGGATGAGCCCAAAGGAAAGTCATCATCAGGTCTGTGCTTTGAAAGAGGTCTCTGGATGTAATGGGAACTGACTGGAGGAACATCAAAAAGGAAAAGGGAAGCGGTCAGGTGAGAAGTAGCAGACTTATCTCATGCACATTAAGAGAGGCTGAGGAGGCATAAGCCTAGATTTACGGCACTTGGACCAAAAGGAAGGTGGCAATATTCACTGCAGTGGAAAGTGGTACTGTTTGAAAGCGCAGTTCTGCAATAGGGCCATGTAGAGACTAGCAAAGAACCCAGCACTGCAGGCATCAGCACACAGACTTTAACTGCAAAGGGAAGGCACACTGACTTATTTTGGCTCTCAGCCTACAGAAGCTATGACACTTTAGTGACACATTTATAAACAAAAAAAAGCTGGTAAACAACTGATGAAACTGACAATTCTAGTTTTCTTTCCCCCATGTCTTTTATTAGACCAACTGTCGCCATTTCACTTGGAAACTTAATACAAAACCTTGGCCCCATCCCACCACCCCTGATTAGAAACTGTAGGGATGCGGGGCACAACTGTGTCCTAACACATGGGCCAGGAGATCCTCATGTATATAAAATCTGAATTCCACTCAACACCCTTAAAGAGAGAGGCGAAAAAGCACAAGGACAAAAAAGAGGAACTTACCAATAATAAGAAATTGCCCCCCTGATGAGGTCTAATGTTGTAACATTACAGAAAACCACCAGAGTAAGAAACTACACTCTCATCAATCTTTTTGTAACTGAGAATTTTGATCTCAAATGCAGTTTGTTTAGTCAAGAAACATTGGTATATAAGACCAGAAGAAATGAGGCCCCTCCGGAGTTTCCCCCAAAAGCTTGTTTATAAAAGAGGCCACACTCCAAAGTTCCTGCCTCCTGACATTGAAGTAGAACATCTGCAGTACCTGTGAAGTCCTCTGCTCACTCTACAGAGAAGCCTAATTGCAGTCTTTCTCTTTTCTAAATGTAGTACAATATCAGTTCCTCACGCAATACAGAGATTTACTTCTCAGCTGACAGACATCCAGTTATCTTCACCAAGGTAGCGTGTTTTTTTGAAGCACCATTTAAAGTAATCTCACTCTACCAAAAATGCGTAGCTCTAGCATGAAAACCAAAGCTGGCTGGGTCTACCAGATGACAGCATGCTGTTAGCAGTTCCAGTTTAAAAGAAACATACTTAAACTATAATTGAACCACTGACTAACTCAAAGTACTTGATGTGGAAAAGAGCTATATAAACACACTCATATTCACACACATGCACATTCTCGCAAATACACTCATTCACACACATGTACACTCATACATTCACAAGTATGTGCACACTCATCCTTGCATCTATACACACACGTGTGTGTGCATAATCACAATCACATGCACTTGCACACTCATGCTCATTCATACTCATATACCCACACTTCTACTCATTCACATTTAGATAGCAACTTCCACTCTCATTCACACATGTACACTCACACTCAAATAGCCATACATGTGCACTCCTATGCTCACAGACACAACTCATTCCAACAGGCACACACATTCACACATGGGCAAACCCACTCTTGCACACATGCTGTACACTCATGCTCTCACCCATAATCAAACATATACTTTCCCTGTCATTTATACAGTACACAGCCTCATTCACTCACACATGTACATATACACTCAGTCTCACAACCCTCTTACTTGGGTATATACTCAGTCTCAGCTAGGCTGTGGGAAAGGAGACTGTCAACGAAAACCACAGAGGCCCTCATCACATTCACAGTCTGAGTGGGTAACTGGGGCATTTCAAACAAGCACCTGGAGACCCAACTGGGCACTCTGCTCACCAAGCCCTGTCTAAACATCAGTTTCAAAACCCTAATTATATAATCTGATTACAGTTCTGGTGAGGGTAGCCTTTCGAGCTTTTTTTTTTCTTTTAAGACAATGCCTCACTAGTAGTATAGGCTGGCCTCAAATTCATGGAAATCCTTCTGCCTCAGCCTCCTGAGTGCTGGGATTACAGGTGTGCATCACCACACCTGGTGCCTACGGGGCTTTTAAAAAGAAATGGAGCTCCAGAGGCCAACCACTGCCTTGAGAGACCCAACTGGAAGACTCCACCTGGTAGGGGTGGGGTCGTGTATGGGATGCTGGGGACATGTCTCATTAGTAACAAAACAATGCCCCATCTGAGTTTTTACAGCTATAAACAAAAGTGAATAAATAAAAACATGCTGGATAGTAAGCCATAGCACTATGTACTTTTTATATGGAAATAAGTATTTTAACAGTTTTGAAGTTATCTTCAGATTATTTCTCTTGCACACTCCTAGAGGGAAAAGAAACAAACACAGAACTACCTGATTTGCCTCACTCCTGAGGTGCACCCTACAATGACTAGATGGAGGCTGCCCTACCTGGGATGGTCATCTGCAGAGGTCTGACGAGGTCCGGGTGCCTCAGCGGGTTTCCAGGGTACACGAACCACTCCTTGACCACTGGGTAGGTGGCACTGGTACCATCTGAGGAAAGACAGCAGCAGGTCAGTAGGTGCAAATTCTTGGTCCAAGAGTGCTAGTCAGCCTCTGAAGTGCACCCTCTCCTAGAAAGACTGGGAGTGACATGCTGTCTTATTACTTTCTGGTCACCGGGATAAAGTACCTGTGACTTTAAGAGGTTTACTCTGGTTCCCGGTTTAAGGTGACTCAGTCCAGGTGAACTGGCTCTAAGGCACATAGGATTGGCAAATGGCAAGGTAGTACAGAAAAAATGAAACGTGCAGAGAAAGGAGACAAGCACATTGAGACTTTAAAATTGTCTTTTTAAGAAAAACTATAGCTTCCAAGATAAGCCTTCTCTTCCAGGAAGCTCATTCCAAAAAGCTGATTCCTAAAGGTCTTTTTACAGTAAACTGTAAGTGAGGGCTTTGGACCCATCCTTTTCACCTGTAAATTGTGCTTCCTCTGTCCTCTAGAAGCAGCAACACTGGAGGGCCACGTATCTCAACTTCAAATATATGCAGATGGCTTGCACTGTAATCTGACAGACAGCAAGAAATACACAGTCCGGATGGCCCATCCTCAAGATAACCCTTGAAATATGGGAGTATTTGCTCCATTGTTTGAATGCATCCTAAAATGTCTCCTTTCTACAGGCACGTTCTGAAAATTCCTTTTCCATGATTAGAACTTGATCAGCAATCCTGCAAGCTTATTTTAACCACTTAACAGTCTGTCATTTCAACCAGTTGATTCTTGTTTGCACAAAATACACTCATATGTCTGTTTTATGTTGACTATTTTTTGCATACTTTTTTATTTAGAATGCTATATTCCTCTTTGATGTTTGTTTCTAGTGAAATCTAATAAGTTCTGGTTATTTCTTTACTAGTAAATTTGTGTTTATTTGTGAAAAGTAACCTATTATTTTTGCTACGATCTATAAAAACTCTTATTGTAAGTTTATTAGATATAATTTTTATACTTCCCCAAAACTCAGTGATATTCTTTTACAATACAAAGCAGACATACATGTAGTACTGCGACTGAAAACGAAGGAAGTGCCTAAAGATTTGCAAAAGTAGAAATGAAAAAGGGAGAAACGTCAGTGTATCAGCGAGGAAGTCTGTGTTCCGCAATGGAAAGACAGAAAGTTGTCTCCTTACTGTCAGTCTTCACAATATAGAAATGACAGGACTTGAAAGAAGAAATGAAAATTCTAATAGCACTCAATGATAATAGTTATTCTATGGACAGTAATGACAAAGCTGACCACCATCTAACAAGCTACCCTGTAATCCAAAAGCAAGGAAAAATAGTATTATAAAATATTTATGTACCTTCTGGACCAGACAATACGGAACTCATCTATTACTTATTCAAAACAAAGGAGTTCAAAAATCATTTACAACTTAGGTCTAATAGACCAAATAATGAAAAAATACAGGATAGCAAAGTGCCAACCAGGATGTCCGTCACTATTGTCCTTACAATTATGTTTAGTGGGTAGAGATTTTACCAAAATTATGCCACCCACAGAAAAAATAGAAAGGCCAACACAACAGTGTAAAGTATGTTGTTCAAAGAAAAACAATAATGCAAAAATAATTCAGAAAGAGACCAGATACTACTGTTCGGATTGTAACACTGCACTGTGTACTGAATATCTTAAGATGTGCCATACACAGAAAATTACTGAATAAATTTGATTAAATCATCATTTTTATATTTCCTGTTACCTTATAAAAATTCGCAAAAAATATGCAATTTTTGGTCACCCTGTATTTATAATCACTGGACTGGTAAGTGGTTAAAAGGGTGAGATAGGTTCCTTATCTCAGCCTTGGGTACCTCACAGACCCAACCAGGTAACAGTGGAAAGCACATGGCAGAAGAAAGCTCTTCATTCCAGGGCAGCCAAGAGAATGTTGGGAGAAGGAGCTAAGGACAGGAATCCATGCGCCAAGGCCAAGCCTCCAGTGACCCACCTGTTCTAAGGAGCCCCCACCTCCTAACAGCACATTCAGCTATGAACTCAACAATGGACTCATCCACTGATGAATGTAGCACCCCCATGATCCAATCTCCTTCCATAAGCCCCAGATGTGAACACAGTAGAGTCCTGGAGAACACTGTAGACCTAAACTATAACAATCATCAACACCTTTCCCCACCTCAGGGTACAGGCTATCACTTAATCCAATGAGGCCAACAACCAGAGCTGATTCAACTGGTCCTACGATGCCTCATACTGCTACAGAAAATACTGAGAGAAAACTGCTAGGATGTGAGAGTCCTTTCTGGTCTAGAGCTTAACTATCTTAAACCATTATTAGTACTGAGACTCTTTGTGGTAGATTAACTAATGGTCCACTTGTAACACCCAGCTGAAATAGAGACACCGGCCTACAGCCCTAGGCTGTGCGCCAGGGCAGGGCTGGCATTTAGAGACTGGCAAAAAGAGAACAGCTCTGTGAAGGAAAAAGAGACCAGGAAGGGCAGAGCCCAAGAGGGACACAGACATTTACAGGCAGAAGCCACAGAGACTCTACAGTGTGGCTCTAGGGTGTAAGGCCCACCCAAGGATTGTTGCCAACAACATAAAAAGAAAAATGGAGGGGAAGAGGGTGGGTTGTTGATTGTCCTGAAGAAGCTTGTCACACTCGTTTTCCAGATATGAATTCAGCTGTCCTCATCATTGGAAGAACTTGGGTCCTCCCTGTCACTGAGGACGGCTGCGGTTCTCTTCACGGGAGCTCTGGTTCTTACTTGGAGTGTTACTTCCTGGCTCCAGTGCAGATCCCTCATCCTGCTGGCAAAGATCCTTCATCCCACTGGTGCAGACTTTCTAGCTTCCACCACTGACCTTTTGGGCCTTCCCAGTGCAGATCTTTGATATAGACTTGCATGAGATATTGTCATGGTCTCTAGGTCTTCAGCTGGACTTGTTCAGGGCACTGAGTGGGATCCAGGCCCTCAGCTGGATTCTTTGGGTCTTTAGTGCATGGACAGATCTCTTGCATTCTTCTGCATTTGACTTTTTGGGTAAATATTATAAAATAATCCCATAAATTATGTGTCTTGTATTAAATCTATTCCCTTGCAAACCCTGACTACAATACTATTCGAAAATCTGGTAGCAGTAACTGAGAACGAAGGTACTTTGGTATGTTGGATGATTAACTGTTGTAAAGCAAAGACAATGTGAAGGAAGACTTCCTTAGTCAACAGTGTCACTGAGCCTGTCTTGAACCCATCAAAGGCTGCAGCCACCATTTTGATCCAGGAGTGGCACTGACCTGTTGCTTGTCCCTGCATGGTCTCATCCTCAGGGACCTCTCTGTAACTCTGTAAGCACTGGCTCTTCTCCTGTCTCCTGAGCCTCTTATCTTGGCTCCTCTAGGCTCAAGTGCCCCAGACTGCATTCCTCTCTGCAGCCATTGCTTCTCTCCTGCCTTCAGCTCCCTGACAGCGGCTTCCTTGCTCACTCCTTCAATTCCTTCATGTGGCTTCAGCGCCCACACTACTCCACCAGCATGGCACTGCCAGCACTGGATATAGCCTCCTGACTGTGAAACCCAGTGGATGCTATGGAGTCTTTCTGGCTTCTGCCTGTGAATGTCCGTGTCCCTCTTGGGCTCCACCCTACCTGGGGTCACACTGGCACTGCAGTGATGGTGAGGCTATCTCCTGCCCAGACCAGTTAGAACAGATTCCTGATCATTCCTTGTCTACCATCACGTTCCCAGCCAAGCCAATCTCCAATGTAAATAGCTAGGAGGCTTTCTGTTCTTTAGTTCTGTTTGTTTGTTTTTGGAGACAAGGTCTTCCTGTGTAGTTCAGGCTGGCCTTGAACTTACTATGTAGCCCAGGCTGGCCTGAAACTTGCAGTGATCTTTTTGCCTCAGCCTCCCTAGTGCAGAGATTACAGGCGTGCACCACCACACCCAGCTCTCTTTAGTTTTCTTTTTTAAATGAAGACAAGACTGCTCCCTAGTAAAGATCTCTCAATAGCCATCCAAGGGCCTCAAATATAAATGCAGATCTGTCTGCCTGCTGCTTGCCTCTGCCCTAGCAGCTCTCATATAAGGCTGAAGGAGCCCACAGAAGCTCTGTGGAGGCACAGATCAAGGCCTACTTTCAGCACTCCTGATTCCCAGGTCTGTGCCAGGGCTGGCTTCTCTAAGCCACGCCCAGGCAATATGATGCTTCTGGTCTGGGGACCTTGCGAAGAACACCATGCTCCAGCCACACTGCAGGTCCACAGGATCTTTAAACTCACAGTGGCCCACTTTGCCTCTATCTGGTGACAGAGTTCCTCTGGTTCAGAACTACCTTGACCTTCACTTGGCCTACCACTACTCTCCCTTTACATCTCCATCAGAGACCAGTCCTCAAGGATGATACTTTCTCACTTTCCCCAACCTCAGTGCTCTGGCTGGCTGCTACAATGCTCACTTATAACTTGGTATGGTCGCCCATGCCTGTAATTCCAGTGCTCTGGGAGTTCAAGGCAGAAGAATCACAAATCTGCGCCCAGACTGGGCCACTTAGCAACTTAGTGAAACCCTGTGTCAAAATAAAATTTGAAAGGGCCACAGAAATAGCTTGGTCGCAAAGGCCCTAGGTTTAATCTCCAACAAAAAAAAACAAAACAAACCAAAACTGCTCACTGATGTACAGGCCATCCACCCCCACTGTGAGCTCCTGCAAGCAATGACCCTCTGTTTTTAGCAGAGGCCACATCAGACGTTCACGAAGTGAATTTAATGAATACATTCAATTTGGCCTAAATTTCACTCACTGGGGAAAAGGGGAAGGTTGCTTTTGATGGTCCCTGAGTATATGATCTCCTAAAACTGGTACTGGCTCTATCAACTCACTGGGAAGGACACTGTCAACTCTCCCCTTGGGAAATTGTAGTAACTAAAACTACACTGTTTAGAATTGAGTACTGATAGCTACACGCTATACAGACTTTTGCACAGGAGAAACTCCCAGTTTCCACATGCAAAATGATAAAA